CTGATCTTTTCAAATGCGACCTGTGTCTGAATGGCCAGGTTGCATTCATCTGACCTGGCACCCCGGCCTGTGACGTCATTGCATCCTCTACTGCGCATGCGGGACACTTGCGTCGTATGACTGCTGTTCAAACAGGAGATCACATACAAGTCACATATATTTGGAAATATGAACGGCAACGCAAAAAAAATCGGATTTCACAAAAAAATTGGAATTGAGCATCAAGGCCTGCAGTGTGGAAGTAGCCTATATATAGACATAACAAAGATTGGACTAATGAGCTGACAAGGAACAGGTGTGGATGGAAGCATCTAGAAGGAAGCCAAGGTGAAAGGTAACAAACACAAGGGGGCAACAGAGAGTAACTCGAGAACTAAACACTGCTAGAAAACAACTACAAATATAAAGAAACTAAAAATACATCTAAACAGAGGGCAAAACACTGACAGGTTGTAGTGCAGCCCCCCTCCATCATCGACCAAAAGGTTAATTCTGATTCATTTATTTGTCTTTATTCTAATCTACTTGACCATGCAGTGCTGCTTGTATCTAGCCCCTATCCATACAATGCATGTAGTGCATCTGAATATTTCATTAGAGTGCACAGGGAATCATCTGACCAACAGTACTTTATTAACCTCATTTGAACTCTTGCCGTGGCTCCTGAACACAAACACAGCAATGTAACCAGACTTTGTCAACAAGATACCCTTTGTTTCCACCTTCGCTCCAACAGCCATGTCCCTGAAGCTGAGGACGGTAGTTTTGCAGAAGAAGACTGGTAAGATGATTGGTGTTTGAGGGGGAAAAAAATGGCTGTTCTCCCTGCCTTTGTGATGTATTAGTGCTGCATTGCCTTGTGGAAAGCGTGTCTCTGAACTCAATACCTCAGTGTGTGATCCTTCTTTGTGCCTGTGCAATACTCTCTGGACGTTTTGTTTGTGACTGTGGCTTTTAACGCATTGTATATCTGTTGTGAAAAAACAGGTAGTGTGCTACTAATGGTTATGATTATTATGTGATCTAATTAAACAAAACGATGCATGCAATAATTTGTAGGTTTTATTTGTTAAATCTATATTAATAATAATATAATGAGAAAATATGAACTGGTTGCTGTACATTAGGGATAAAGCTGTGGTTTTCCTGTAGCTTCTTAATATCCGTTTAACTCTGGCAATGACTGCCACTTACATTAATACCCTCTCTTTCTCACAAGCCGCTCTCTTTCTCATTCTTGACATATTCGCAGCATGGGTGTGCCTTTTCCATTTTGCATGGAGGATTTGAGTTTGTTTGATAGATTGGTTATACATTTTGCAATCATCCTGAAAAGTATATTTCTTGATTGATATTTCCTGCATAACTGATACATAATAAAATTATTAGAGGATTCCAAGGTAAAGCACGTTTGATAGAGCTCACTTGTGAGTTTTTTTCTTCCTAGCTTAAAGGTGACAGCAGGATGTGTCAAAGTTTGCATCTGGATCTATTCCCTCATTATCGAGCATGAACTGCCTTTACCCTTGTTCCCATAGCAACCGCCCCTGAGCGTGCTGACGGATAATCAATATCTCGATCTGTTCTCACTCAGTTTAGCTCCTAGCAAGTTTTATTGAGACAAAGAACATGGCAAACTGCTCTGCTGATTTAATAGAAACATTAGGCGAAATATAACCTTTCAGCCTTTTAATGATGTCAATATTTTTATGATCTAGGCATGGGTAGCTTTCTCAAAGTCTTTCCGGTTGTAGCCAACATTTCAACACAAGTCACACTTTTTTTTACATAATTTTATTATGTTATCGCCCAGTTTGTGTCCTTTAATGTCAGTTTTTAATATACCTTTTACAGACCTGTTTTTCTCTTGCTGTTGGGTTTGAAAGAGAGAAAGGAGCCTCTGTTAGCAGTCAATCAAACCTAGAGCCACGGGCAAAGCTGCTGTCTGTCTGAGCTGAAGGGCTCTATTTGATCCCTACTGGACACATAATCACAGGCTATTGGCTATTTATACATTTAATCCCTCTATGTTTTTCTGTTAATCAAAATATATCCTTTATTTTTAATAATAAGATCAGAAAGATTTCTTTTATTAATAGCTGCGTTTTCATAATCGTATTGTTTTAAGTAGATGTACATCTCACAAAATTACAAATCTATTGAATTTGTTTATTCCAGCAATGGAATCCATTTAAAACGAAAAAAAAAGAGCTAAAATTCAATTTGTAATGTAATTACAGTAGAATATAAAATTAGAGTTGAAATAAAACAAAAAAATGTTATTTTAACAGTTTTTTAATTTTCAGTAGTTTTCCTTGTACATTTTTATTGTCATGCTAATTACATCTCTTTAATGAATAATAAAAATATAAGATTAGCTTTTCTCTAAATGGCATTCCAAAAAGGAGGTTTACTTCAGCCCTCAATTCTTCTTGAGATTCTGTGTCGTTTTCACTTAAATGCTAATGTTGGTTTAGCTTTAATGCCAAGTGAAATGTGGATTTTGTTTGTATAATGTGAGATATCAAGTATTTACTGTACAAGTCAAAAGACATTTATTACAAAGTGACATCATGAATCAGTAGTGTTAAAGTCTAGGTTAAAGTCTTGCTTTAGTGTCTTTTCTTTAGAAAAGACACTAAAGCAAGACTTGATTCCACAACTCTGTATATTTGAAATGCAAAAATATCCTCCTACTTGAAAGTATGACCAAGTACTGTACCCTAAATGGATGTATGTGGTAAACTGTTAGGTCATGTGTGAATATATCGTCTGTGGAGTGTAGAACTAGAGATACACATTTGCATTATAGTAGATAAATCTAGTTGACATGCTTACAGACCACTTTCTCTGCCAGCTTTGGTAATGCCCTGAGCAATTGCAATTTCCTGTTTTATTTCACCAAAATTGGAAGTTCAACGTTATAATTTAGTCAATTTATATTTAAAGATTTCTTTGGTTTACTACAACTTCATCCATCAAACTGTTGCGGTTGCTAGGGAACAGAAGTTACCCAGATAATACTGCCACCTGTTGGACTGGAGACGAAGTACAGCTTTATTCACCACGTCCCCATTATCATTAGGCTGCTTTAAAAAAAGATCAGGGGTCTTACATAATCTTTAGTTGTATTAAGACCAACCATTCAAATCAATTGGAATATTTGGTTCAAATGTATCTTTCATAAGAATCTATATACAGAGTTTTACTTATAAAAGTGCATTACAGCTGTTGGTTAATTTTAATTTTCTGTTATGGAGATGCACTAGTATATGCCAAGTAAAGGAGTAATGCAAATATTTATGTTTGATAGTGAACTTTTAATAAAACAATTATTTAATCTATAATTCATGATTAATATCTTAATCTCAGGGATTTATTTCTGAGGTTGAGGACAGAATCCAAAATAGCTGTGCTCCAAAATGCCTAACTGAAACCCAGGGAACCAATATTTGCATTCTGCCTGCGATGTAGTTAATTCAATTTATGTCAATACTGCTGGCATACTGCACTGGCAGTGCTATTAACTCTTCCAGATCTGTCACTACTTGGGTTATAAATCAGGTGAGAAACGGGGCCATTTTTCTCCTCTACTTGTGCAGAGCTTAGTCCTTTGCAACCACAGGTGTCACACGGCGCTACATTTACACATGTGATATTCTTGCTATAAAAGCTTTTCTTAGACGTACCCTTTAGTAATAAGGTCTTTGTTAATGTGCACTTTGCGGGAAAGGAAAACATGAGGGATATTTCTTTAACATGTTTGCACATAGTGCACGTATTTTAAAGCTTAATGTTTGCAATCAAACTTGACTAAGATGTTAGTTTAATTTCTAGATTTAATAAAAAAGACAAATAAAAAACACTGACAGATGTTTAAAAAAGAAGCTATTGTGGTTGAGTAATAGCAGAAAATGAAAGTCACTTTAAATTAAGTTACATCCTTCTTGGAGACCACCAATCACTGTTTACCTGAGAGACTGTTTATGATTCTTCCTGTTTTTATCTCTTTTCATCATCTCCTTTGTTGTTAAAATGAGCTTTGATTATGATGTACAATGACTGTCTATTTTCCAGTCAGGTCCAATGTTTTTTCGTGTTCTGGTTTGCTGCTAGTTGCTCTATCAAAGTGTGTTGTGGTGAATTAATGTCTCCTCTTTGCTTCTCTCCAGGCACAGCGCAAACTCGTCAGAGGAGGCTGGATTTAATGACCAGAGCTTACTGGAAAACCTCCAAAGCAATCACGTAAGTAATGCTAGGGAGCCCCGTCGCCTGCCTCCAGATGCTTCTGCTGCTAAGAACAAATTAAGAGAGGTTTTGTTTCACAGTGTTTGTATCATTTGTTTTGACCTTTTTTTTCCAAGTACAATTATGTTGGCTATCTTTGCATAAGTTAACTTAGAACTGTTTGCTTTCAAACGAGATTCAAGAGTCAAATTCCCCATGGGATCAACAGAGCAGCCATTCATTGTAAACTTCACCAGACACTCTAGATGTGAAATAAGAGGAGACATCATGACCATCTGTACATGCAGTAGGTTGGGTGAAGACTGATTGTTTTGCTTGTGAGTCACTCAGCTGCAGAACAAAGTTAAGGAAGCAGAATGTCAGATCTATTTATGTACAGTGTTTCTGCTCAGGGAAATTGGTAATCCCACTGAGATGTTTGTTACATGATGACAGCAGAATCTGTTCACACATTTGGTTTGTCTAAGGTCTTCTCTAGATCCATGTTGATAGGCCCTCACCCACCGCTAATTACCTACTGCTGTTTGAAAACCACAGTCTGTCTGCAGCTGTGGTTATACTTCTGCTCATGATTCATTTGTTGTGCTTAAGCCTGGATTTTTATTTAGTAGTTACAGGTATTGTGGAGGGTTTTTGCGATTTTTTTTAAAAGAACTGCCCTCTCCACTTAAAAAAATTTGCACATGCAAAACCCTGTACGGACTCCCCAGAGGGAACACCTGTTAAATGCGTGCAAGAGCATGCATGAACCCATTTATTCTCATTCCTGCTCTGTTTAAAAGGTGCGGTTCTCATTGCTCATAAAAGCTTACTGTGTCTGAACGTCGCCCTAATCCCTAAATCGCTCAATCACTATATAGAGCAAGGACTTTATAGTCAACTTTATAGCGAACTCAGCTAACTTACCGTTCAGATAGAATATCACTGCTTTTTGCTCCCAGTTGATCATGTAACTCCTCGGTGCCTGCACCATCTTTGTTATTAGTTGCTGCTGATGGATAGTGACAGCCTATAACAGCAAATCCCAGAATATTTTGCAAAGCATTCTGGGACGCTTCTCATACTCTTTGTAAACACTTTTGCTCTTATGGCCCTCAACAATTTTCAAAGAACTCCAGTTAGAAAGGTGAGATTCAATGACTGTCTGAAACTCTAGCTCACCACACATATACACCTGAAAGTGCGCATGTGCAGAAAAAGATAGCTAACGGGACGAGCACGTAGGACAGCCTTACTTAAACATATCACCAGAATGATTGACAATTAGGAGCACCACTTATTTAGAGGATCCACCTGGAAATAAAAGATCATCCTCTATACCTTTAACAAGAATAGGGCTTAACATCATACCTGGTCTCAGATCCATTGTTTTCACACTTAATATTTATGTAGTTCAAGATTGTTCCAAAGAAATCGCTTAGAAATGATAAAATACCTACAGTCAGTGATCACTTTATTAGGTACAACTACTTTGCTTCTCAAACCAAACCGCCAACGAAGCAGTCAAATTGTGGCTTGTCAGTGAGTTAAGGGTTTGATGAAGTCTTCTTGCTAAGCGCAAAGGTAAAGCCAATATTTTTGTGCATGCTTCTTAGTGTTTAATTGTATTCTTTAATCTCTCTTAAACCTGTTTGCTCTAACACTAAGAACCCCCTCATTCATCAAACAGACTTTGATTTGCTTTATGTAAACGTCGGTGCAGGCATGTCAGAGTGGCATTGAGAGTCCGTCTAAACAGAAACATTGTCCAGTTGATTTCAGGATGCGACTCTTGTAATGTTTCCTGTTTCTGCCTCGTCTTTATTCTAAAATAAATTAATTTCTGTTCCTCGCCGACAGTCGTCTATCTTTACATTAAAGCTCATTAAGCACTCTATCACATTGTCACTGTCACTCGCATGGTGGGGCTGACGATGATAAGTAGAGTGCTGAATTCAGTTCACGCCTAAAACTCTCACTCTGCAAACACTCTTAGGCGGTCTCTAGGATTCCTACTGGGCCATTGCTAATTATTGTCGCTAACAGTTTTACATGTCTGGAAGCTGTTTAGAGAACTGATGTTAACGCAGTGGTGAGAAGAGTGGATCTAACAGTTCTGAAAATACAAATGCCTTCTAGTGTTTGCTCTCTGTCTGCTAAGTTTCACCAATGTCCTAGCTCTTTATGCTGCAGCTGTCTTCTTTGCTTTCTCCTCACCACTCAGCCCATTACAACATTGGACAGACCTGAGGTGTTTGTCATTACCAAGGTAGAAATAGTTTTAAATGTCCATTAGCTTTTATTTTTATTTTGTTTTTAGTTCTGACTGTCGACTCTATTTTAATTCTGATTCATGTTAAAGGTCCAATACTATGCAAATTCCACATTATAAACATTTTGTAACAATGAAGCCTGTGTATGAGATTGACAAATCAAAAAGCCCTCTTTCATTGCCTTTCTCCACCTCTTAGCTAATGTTCTCAAAGTGCTCTGTTTGTTAAGAATTCCCCTTCATACATGTATGTCATCAGGGGAAATAAGCTGTCCATACCGGTCTGTAGCAGCAAGCATTACGGCCTTCGTCTAATGTATTAATCCACACTCGTAGCTGCTATTACAAACTCTCGTTGTCATGTTTGTGGGTTGTGGCCAAAACAGCTCTTCCAGAGGAGGACTGAATTAGGAGATTTTTTTTCTAAAGGCTGTCTGCCTAATCTGAGAGCAAAAAGCTGCTCTGGGTGCCTCATTGTTAATATTTTTTAGTTTCCAATGTTGAATAATATAGGACCTTTAAGTAGGCTAGTTTTTTTTGTGTGAAAATTAGGGCTGGGCAAAATTGCATTAATTGCATTTGCAGTATAGTGGCAATTTAGAAAGATTTTTTTAACCAAAAATTTTCAAATCGCAGAGGCACCGCTTTCTATTCACAATACATATAACATGAGTAAGACCTTAAATTCCTCCCTCCAGCCCATTGGGTGGCAGTAATACGATTAAAGTAGGTACGCTTTCGCACAAAAGGGAAGAGAGAGTTGCATCTAGCACCTAGATGAATGCGTTATAGTAGAAGGAAGAACTTGTTGTGAAAATTCTACAGTAGAATCCTGCAACACTGAAAAAACTGAAAACCCTGGAGTACAACATCCACATGCTATTGCTTACTGCAAAGAAATATCGCAATAAAATCGCAATATTGGTCGAAAATTATTACAATTTCGATTTTTGGCAAGATCGTTCAGCCCTAGTGAAAAAGCTTGGTTTCATTTTAGTTTTTTATTACTTTTGGTTATACGTTTAGTCTTTTATGTAATTCAGCTTACATACCAGGGGGGCAAGACTAAAAATGAAAATGAGAAATAAGAGAACCGAAATTTAGGTTTCATATAAATACGTATTAATAAAGACAGAAACAAAAACTGAGCACACTCTCTCTTAAAAGGCTGTTACAGTAGCTTTAACTAGTTCTTTAAACTCTTAATACAGTGTCATATATATTTTTTTTGTAAGGTCAAGTTCTATTTTTTTAAATTCTAGTTAACAAAAATGTTTTTTTTACATTCTAATTTTTATCATTTTGTTAGTTTTAATTAACAATAATAACCTTGGTCATTACTACGGTGGCACAATTTACCCAGAGTTCAATGTGACATAGAGCTGCAGATAATCAACCATGGTTTAACTGTGGTTGTTTCTTCATCTTTGTTTCATTTCTGTTCATTTTTTGGCTATAATATAGAAATGAATATGCACCTTACAATGCCTTACAAAACTATTAATATTGCCTCATCCTCAAATGTTAGTCATACTCAATTAATTCTGTGCACCACAAGAAAGAGGTGGCAGAATGATTTTATTGGGATATTTTTCTATGGGAAACCCTCCCATAGAGAAATATCTTGCTGGCAGAATAATGCTAAAGACATACTTTACTATAACAAATAGGAGGAAGCTTTCACACAGTGAAACGTGGCTGGTATAGCATGATGCTATCTGGTTAATATTGTTTACGAGAGGTTAAAAAGCTGGGTAGATGTGATCAAAAGATTGGCAGAGGTCATTTCTGGCCAATCATGTGTGTGTCTGTTAACAGAGATTCTGGTCTCTATTAATGAGACCAGAGTCTCATTAAAATGACCCTAAACCAAGGACCGTTTAGATGTATTAAGATGGCCTTCTTAGCATTTATCTTTGCATGAATGAGCTCGCTTCCACATTTCTGTATCCCTGTTGTTTACAGTTAAAATATTAAAAATGTTTTTATATATATTTAATGGATGGATAACTAAGTTTTTCTTCCTACACTTGAGCTTTTAACTAGTATAAAACATTCGGTGTGCTACACTCACTCACACATGCATATCCACACCCATATGTCCTTCAGAGGATACCTGTAAGCCCAGACCAAATTAGCATGCGACCAGGAGACAGAGGGGACTCTCACGGCCACCTGGGCGGCAATAAACTCTGTGTGTTTTTGCTCACGAGTGACCTTTTGATTTGCCCCCTTTGCTCCCATCATTTATTTCCCCCTTTGCTCCCTTTAGCATTGCTTTCAAGGCCAGCAGCACAAATCTACTAACAATGTGCTCAAATACAGACCTTTATATTAAATAAAGGGAGTTAAAGGAGAACTTCTTCAAATAATCGCTTCATAAATTCATGTACTTGCATAATTAAAGGTTGATTAGTATATATACGTTGTAGCTGCTTTGTGTCCAGTCATTAAATTGCAACGATTGCTCACAAAGTCTGAGTGTTTAGACTAGTATTAGATCATTGTTAGGAAATGTGTTTTTTTTTTCTTTTTGCTGTTATATTAAGGCGTGCTGTGGCCCTGCAGGCTGCTAATATCTCTAGCATAGTTGTAGTCACTGACTCCAGACTGGTAGTCCTTCGGCATTAGTTGGAGCCTCAGCAGATGCCTGTCTGAGTTCGCCCCACAGAAGGTTAGTCATTCCGGTCTTCTCATTAATTTAAATGCCCTCAGTATGTAGGTTGGGCTCTATTTTTTTCTTCCATGAACTGAGGCAAGTTTATTTTGAGTGGAAAAACATGACTAAATGTGTGTGTGTAGCTTAAATCCAGCGGGCGAGTTGTGTGAGCCTATTGGCTGGTTACCAGCTGTCATCTGTCTGATCAGATCGGACACTTCACTGCATATGCTTCCCATTTTGAAGGAGGTAATACACCTCAGGCTGGCTCTTCTAAAAAGCAACGAGTAAAAATATTGCTGACATTTTTAAATCTTGGATTTGAGGGCTTTAATTTAGTAATATATAAAATAAACAAAGATTAATTATTTGAGGTCATAGATGGATGAAGCTATGTCTTCAAATCTGTAAAGCTGACAACAAGATGCTACATTACTTTGCAAAAGTGTTCATACTTTATTCAGCTTTATAATTGTCACAAAACATCAAAAATGTTAACTTTGTTTTATTGGCATTTATCTGACAAAACTTTGAAGTGAATACATTTTTACTGGATTGGACCCTGTAGCATATATTTCTAATCCACTTGTTCAGGTCAATGCTTTGCTAAACCATGTTTTAGAGCAATTCCTGATGTTAATTATCATATTTTCATTCCTATTAAGATCCTGCTCATTTGGATAGGTCAGAGAGCATCTTTAATTATTAGTTTACTTTTACATTTTGCCACAAAAGCCTAGTTTGATTTTGGTCGGGTCCTTGGACCTCCTGAATAGGTTCCGATCGAAGCCCTTCTGTTACAGTTCTGGGTTTATTCTAAGGGTTCTTGTCCCACCAGAAGGTGAATCTCTGCCACAGTGTCAAGATAAGCTCCATCCATGTCTGTCAGTTATGACCAACCTCCTAGGAACCTTGCTGCTTATGGCGTTTTTTAAAATGTATTCTTTGCTATTCTTCTATAACGGTCAGGTTTGGTTAGCGTACTGTATATATTGATCTGTGCAGCTCCATCTCTGGATGTTGCTCTGCTTACCCTTAATGCTGCGTTAGGTGATATGAAAGTTTAAGTTGGAGCCTTGGCTGCTCAGTTTTCAGACTATGGATTGAAAAGTGCTTCATAAGATGATTATTAATTATCTGGACCATAACATGCCTTGTAGCTTACAACCCTTACACCCTTATGTCCTGAACATTCATTCATAGTGAACCTTTCTTCATATTTCTGGCCTTATTGATGCTGCTTCTGCTGTATTTTACTGATGTTATTCATCAGTTAGATCTTTAACATGTTTCCCTAAGATTGATCTCAATCAGTTTCATTTCTGTTTGGGATTATTAAAGTATATTTTTTTATTTAATTAAATCCGTCTTTCGATCAGCGGTTTCAAGGTCGTTCTGCTTCTGTCACATGCTTTATTAAACAACATTAGATAAACTCGTTTTTGTTTTTTCTTCCTCTTCCCTTAGCCTACAGCTGCTGTTATCCTGGACTTCATGACCATGATGGCCATCTGTCACACTGCAGTGCCTGAGCGCATCGACGGAAAGATCATCTACCAAGCTGCTTCTCCAGGTATTACAGCTTATCCTGTTCTTTCGGGTCCATCTTCTCAGCATCTGATGTGTTTTTATACGTTTTCTCTGTTTTACTTTAAAACTGAAACGGTGGCAGGTGTTTGGGAATTTAAGAAGTTCAAAATAAAAGAAACTCAAGATAATTATAAAGTTCTGCTTATAGAACCATTCAGAGAGATATCTTTCTTTCATTTTTTGTTTCTCTGATACTGCATTGGTGATTTGAATAGAAAAGGTCCTTGAAGTGTTTCTGTAATGTTTGATTCTCCCTGTGGTGACCTGTCAGCCTGAGCAAAGAGAGCTCTCTGTTAGAGCCTACTGGCCCAAGTATCCCATAATTCATTTATATCATCCTAAACACTGAAGAGCCAGGAATCACACTATCAAATGTGGTCTCCTGTTTACAGAAAGCATGCTGTGTGTCACTTTTGATTCCTTTAGCCTTAGCGTGATCCCTCAGTCTCTCACATTCATAGTGGGGTGTAATGAATAGAGACAGCTGTCAGTCAGGGAAACATGCCCTTCAACGCTTGTTTCAGCTCCACTGAAATACTATCATTGTTGAGCAGGAAAAGCCTTCTAGTATTTTCTGCTTTGTAATAGAAACCTAAACTGTTTAACTTTTCAGTTTATTCTATTGCTCTATGGCATGTTTGAACCAAAATAAGGGATGTTATAAATAAAGACCTCTGTGTGCCTTTAGATAAAAATATAAATGTGTGTAAATGTGTTGGGCAGTGAAGAAAAAATTAATCTCAGGGTTTTTACGTCATTGTGTGTGCATAGTGAACTAAACTTAGAGATGTCATTACAGTCATGTTAAGTACACAGGTGCAGGCGACCTACATGCATGCAAATATTTTCTCCTGTGCTGTAGCCGTGTTTATTTTTTATTAGACCCACTAGCTTTAGGACGGGCTGTAAACTGAAATAATATGTCAGCTGTAATTGAAATCTAGCGATGAAGAATGGAACTTTATTTCAATCTGGTCCTTTAAAAGCATTTTTAACTATTGAATATTTTCCGCAGTTTGCTGCACAGCAACCAGAGAGTGTCGTAAAACGACATGCCTGTAAATATAGATGTGCATTTTTTATTTCAAATAAATGTTCATCTATTAAACATTTTGAAAGCTGTGTGCGGACAATAATATGTTCATGTCTCCTTATAGTAATTTTTAGTTTTTTCCTTTTTGTCTTTGAAGATGAAGGAGCTCTAGTCAGAGCGGCCCGAAACCTCGGCTTTGTGTTTTCTGGACGAACCCCTGACAGCGTGATTGTGGAAATAGTAAGTCAGACCGCTTACAGGAATGTCAGGCAGGCTGTCTCCGACCCCCCACACACACACACACATCAGGTGGTAAAAAGGCAGAGTCATTCCCTTGCATTATAGCTGTTGTCATAAACAGATGTTTATCTAGGCCAGAGGATGTGAAAGCTGTACATCTGTGGGCGATCATATCTGATGGTGAGGAAGTGTCTCAGGTCAGCCATTCTGCTGTAGCCTAAGAGACAAACAGGATGACTGCCCTTAACACTGAGGCTAAAAAAGGCAGAACAGTTTCCGTATTTCCCCCTCTAGCATCAGAGATGTTTGTCCTATTTCCTAATAGCTATTAGAGCTTCTAAGATTCTCAGCGTCTGTTTAATCACTCTGATCTTTCACCTAGCAGGCCTCCCAATTAAGAAAGTTAATTGAATTTTGCCTTGTGCTGCTGCAATCAGCTCAGGAAGCCACTGATAAACACGTTTAAGCTGCAGTTACTGCCGATTTAGATGAGAAGGAAATGTTTGCTTGTGCTACCTAATGTGATTTCAGCCAGAAAACTAAGATTAAGGAGCTTCTCTTTGTTCGGTTACATTTGCTTCTACCTTTGATTTTTCAGCTCGGAAGTGAAGAAAAGTATGAGCTGCTTCATGTTCTTGAATTTACAAGGTATTTTCTTTTTTTTTTTATGCTCCAGCTACCATTACTAGTTTTTTTTTCTACCTGTTGTCAGTTTTGTTTTTCACCTTCTGCATGCCGTTTGGGCTTTTTTTTTCACAGCACCAGGAAGAGAATGTCGGTCATCATGCGCACCCCATCTGGGAAGATTCGCCTCTACTGCAAAGGAGCTGTGAGTGGCTGTCTCTCTCCATGGCAACGCATGGCAGCCCATCACCACCATGCCGCTCTGTCTCTGTCCTGCGTCTCGCTCGCGTTAGGAAGCCTGTCTTTGCAGCAGCGGGATAACGGCTGCTGCATGTTAAAAATGTGCACAAAATGCACACGGTTTGTTTCTCATAAATGTTTTTAGCCACCTAAACCAGCAGTGGATTCCCAGCCCATAATGGCACAAGCCTGCAGAAGCTTCTGGATTGATGAGTGCATTACATACACACTGAAAATAAATGTTATGTTGTATATTTTGGATTTGGTTTTAATGGCTGGAATAAATTATCAAGAAGCATAGTTGAGCTGGTGCAGAAGATCCCTGCATTTGATGAGAAAAAGAAGCGAGTTTTCAGCTTTATTTATCAACCCTAACATTTCCAGCCGGTTACCTTCTCTACTCTGCTTTTTGGGAACCAAAGAATTTTTATTTCCTTTCAGGACACTGTGATCTACGACCGTCTGGCAGACAGCTCAAGGTACAAAGAGATCACATTAAAGCACCTGGAGCAATTTGCCACTGAAGGTGAGTGGAGAAATATTGCCCCCTGTCTCAGGCGCCTTGAAATGCAGGGATGAAAGCTCTGTTTATTTCTGGTCATGATCAGATGATTTACTCCTCCTGTTCTTTTTAGTTTTCTCCCCAAGCAGTTCCACTCCTACACATCTTTCTTTGGATAATTGATTTAAGTGAATATTTTGCAGGAGCAATAACATGAAAACCACAAATTACTCAGAAGCTGCAGCAGATGGAGCACCTTCATGTTCTGCGTTCATGCTGCCCCCTGGTGGAACACTAGCAAACTGATGTCATTGGGAATATTTAACGTAGGATAAATGTAGCATTCTGGATGGATTGTGAAGATTTTGGGTCATATTATGTTTTTTAGTGAGCTGGATTTGGATAAGAAGCAAATAACCTAACTTTAAATAGTTAAAGTAAAAAAATAAAAAAAATAGCTGTGAAGAGTTTTGGAGGTTAGTTGAGGTTAACATTTAGTGATGTCATTTCTAAGCCTCTTATTTTACTGACATTTGAAAAACCGACATAGGGCTTAATGATAAATAAAAAGATGCTCTGCTATGAACAGTTTTTCAGTACAAAATTTATTGTCTTAAAGTTGGATGTGTATTTTTGCTCTGCTCCCTTTTGCTCTGTTGCCTGCATCAAAAATCTATTATATCCATTTAGCTTCCTTATGTTGTTTTCTGCATACATCAGTATTATTTTTTTTTTTTAATGATGCTCTTAAAACAGTAGAAGTTTTCATCTTTTCACTTTGAAAACAAGTTTATTTTCTGTTGTTCAACCAGAAATCAGTCTTTTCTTTTCTGTCAGTTTTTATCTGCTGCTTGCTCTTGAGGCCTAGAAGGGATTATTAAAGGTTGCTTTGGGGCGTAATTGTTGCTTTATTTTTAAGAAAAACTGTCCGATTTTTTTCATATCAACAATCCGTGCACTGTATGGGAGAGTTAAAACCAGATAGTTGTATGTTTTCTTTCCTCCCCGTCTAAGATTAGATCAGTCTATAATGTTGCCATGTTAGTTCAGTAATGATTACCTAATTTTTTTTTTTTGTTGTTTGTTTTTTTGCATAGAATATGGGAGCATTCTAAGGTCTAATTACAACAGTTGGAATGGAGATGAGATGTTTTCAAACACATGGCTAACTTCTGTGAGAGTATAAAACAGTAAAAGAATAAACTGATACATCATGGAGAGGACTATAGGCCTCCATTGGAGACATATTTTCAGTTCCCTTTTATAAACTGAATTTGTAGAATTATAAACAGCTCAAATACAAAAGCAAGACTTGCATTAATACAGCTGGAGTCATCCGAAGTTCAGTGAGACCCGCTCCATCAAAGGCTACTATGAAAGGAATGCACTCTGGGGAGTTTTTGAAACATGCCTTTCGGTCTGATGAAACCTAAATGAGAGTTTTTTGTTATTAATGGCCATCAATTCTTATAGAAAAGGAGAAGGAAGATGGTAAGACTTAACAGTCCAGACAGAAGTACGATGATGTGTGATAGTTTCGATGTTGGAGAGAATGGTGCACTTTACAGAATAAATTTCATCATGTGGAAATATTAAAGCAGCATTTTAGAGGCATTAGCTTGAAAACTAGAGGTCTTAATTAATGGATGTTTATGGAATACTGTCTTACAGAGAAGTCGTTGAAATAATAAAAGTATATATAAACAAGAATAAATAGTTTAAGCCATGGATTTTTAAAGGCATCTCTCATATACAAAGAAAAAGTGTGTAAATGAGTTTTGTAAAAGCCTCAGGATTCTAGTGTAATAATTGAACTAATGCTAACTTATTAAAAACAGGAAAACTGCAGATCGTTCTAATGTTGGAGAGAAAAGGAGGTCATGATTTATTATTTAATTCAGTGTATGTCTATCTGGTTGCAGCTGCTGTGCTCCATCTGCATCCACAATAAACCTTGGTGCTCTGATATTCTTCATGGCTTTATATTTATAGTTTAGATTCTTGATAAAGAATAATTTTTTCTTTAGTTGTTTATATTTAGTGTTTTTTAGCACGTGTTTTTTTTTTTTTTTGGGGGGGGGGGGGGGGGAGTGGTGGCCAATGGGTTGGGGCATAGAGCTTGGAATCCAGATGTTCTGAGTTCGAGCCCCACTCCAACAGAATGCCACACTGCTCCCTGAGCGCTGCACAATGGCAGCCCACTACTATGAAATGTTGTGAATGAAACACAATGAAAAGCAAATCTGATATAAACACAAATAACCCACTTCAATAAGGTGGATAAATTACTTTTTTTGTTATTTATTTGCAAACTGCCTCTAACTAGAGAACTCCATGTTAAACATTTAGAAGTCTTATTGTTTGACCTGTGTGATTCTGTTTCTTCCCCTCCAGGCCTGCGCACTCTGTGCTTTGCAGTGGCAGACATCAGCGAGTCATCCTATCAGCACTGGCTGGAGCTCCACCACCGAGCTAGCACCTCCATCCAGAACAGAGCCCTGAAACTAGAGGAGAGCTACGAGCTGATTGAGAAGGTTTGCAGATAGAAACGCCCTCAGACTGTTTTTATCAGACAGGTCTGTTAATGTGACCTCCTATGTGCACCGAACCGAACAGCCACTGTTAATCAATGATCAATGACAGCTGTTGCTTAAAAGCAGGGACTAACCTTAAATTAAGACACAATTTTCTTTTATTGCAGTGGCCTATAAGGAATTATAATAAGAAAATCTCACCTATTATAATAAGAAAATGTCACCTATGCCTCCAGTTATTAGCATCCATGTAGCTTATAGTTTTCACAACCTTTTTGTTCAGAGGACAGTGCTTTGTCATCTTTTAGGGTGTGTTCACATCGAACATGATTCCATTAAAGAACTTGCCACATTTGGGTTCTGTAGCCCGTAGAGAGAGCACCAGAGGTGGCCCCGCTCCTCTCTGCAGCTGAGAGCAGGAGATCTGAGGAAGACGCCAGACAGATGAAGCACCTCAGCTGTGCAGAGGAGGCGGATGGCCAGTGCTAGCTGTTTAACTATGGAGGAGGACAAGTAATCAATGATTTAACAGTCCTTTAAAGTGCTAAACTGAAACAGCTTTTTTAAAGCCATCCACAAGCATCCTAAAAGCATAACTACATTCTTTGTCAAGATTATTTTTTGTATCCTCCATTTTGATTTTTAAAAAGCTAAATCTCTACTTCCCTCCTTCATCCTGCCTCCTAACCACATCCATCCTGATGGGTTATTGCATAGAGAGAAGATAGAAAAGCGATTTTCTCTGAAATCACCATAATCATGCCTGTCAAATCGTTAGAACCACTTCTGTTGCCCCGCTCCTGAATGTGCCCTTACTTTGGGGAAATTGTAGACCAATCTTTCTGGTCTCTGGAATCCCGATCATTCCATTAATAATTCACAGGTTTGGATGACCCAACAATGACCCATTTGGAGATTTAACTTTTTTTTTCGGCAGAACGCCCAACCAGCTTAGATTCTTTTCTATGCTTAATGTTGAACACATGGGTATTATCAACACTTGCATGCTTTGTTTTTTACCAGACACCTACAGTATTTGTTGTCTAAAAGCTTTATTTCAGCCAGTTTAACCTAAGCACATGGGTCCATTCTTTTACATAAAAAAACAGAGGGAGTAAATGTGCTCAAATAAAAGGCTCGATTTTTGTGTAAAAATAATATGCTTATGTTGTTAAATGTTTACTACAACAAGGGTTTTATAAATTTGCACATGTGGTTCAAATGAATGTAGAGAATATTTTAAGGTGGTAGATGTAGGTATACCTGCAGTGATTCAAAGCTTCTAAAGTGTTTCCAAGGTTGTTATTATTTTTTTTTTCTTTTAGAGGCAGGCCATGCTGTAAGGTTTGGTCTGTGTGAAAGCCTTGCTTAAACACAGGAAGTTGCCGTTGTAAATCAGCCTTTTGGCTCCTCTTCATGGCTGCTTGGCGCTACCCAAAACTAATGGAGGCAATCAATCATGAACCAAACATGAAAGCTTCCAAAAAGGAAAGTGTAATGCGTGCTGCCTAATGAGGCGAGTGTGGCACTGCGGCTACCCAGGGCTGTTGAGGTTCACTGCTGCTCCTGGACGCCCACCCACCCACACCTCCACTTTATGCACATTAAATCCACAAGGGGGCGAAACAGAGCTGCCGTCCAATTTTTGGAAGAGTTAGAAAGTACATTTCCAATAATAATCAAGTACACTAACCTGCCTGGATACGTTATTTATTTAAGCCATTATGCTGAAAAACATAACAATCCTCGGAATGAATTTAAAAAGAATTTTTTTTTTATTTAGAATGCAGTAATATTGAAAAGTATCATGTTCCTTCCATTAACTACACTCTGTTCTTGGTTCGGTCTCCTCGTGCTTAAATAACTGCTTCAGTGCAGCTTTGATTGGAGGCAGAATCTTCTTAGTGCCTCATAGATTCTATAAATCTTTTACGACGGGGAAGTTTGTCGGCTAATCAAGCATATTTGTTTCCCGGTCATTAAAGTAAGCATCAATACTTTGGGCTATTACTACTTGGGCTCAGGTCTCGCCTTAAATGGCTTTCCTGGCCTTTCCTCTGCTGCTGGCTTGTCTCCCCTGTGCCCCTGGCTCTTTTCAAATCTTTGCCCCTGTGATGAGCCCTTACAAGTCTATAACCAAACCCAAAGAGCCGCAGAGTTTCCTGAGAAAGCAGCCAAGTATGTTTATAGGCCTGCTTGTGTGAGGCGGAAAAATGAGCTCAGAAATTGACCCAAAACCACCTAAAAAGCCCACTGTGGTTTTTCTACAAACGCAAATGACAAAGGAAAGTACTCCTTTTTTTATACATAAGCTCTTTAATGCCGTCATTTACTGATGTATTTCCTGACCTTCTGTGTGTTAGAACCTGCAGCTCCTGGGGGCCACAGCGATAGAAGACAAGCTTCAAGATAAAGTACCCGAAACTATCGAGACGCTAATGAAAGCTGATATTAAGATCTGGATCCTGACGGGGGACAAACAGGAAACGGCCATCAATATCGGTGAGCTACAGCAGAACCCTTTCTATCCTTTCAGCCTCGTATTTCATTTCGCCGCTCTGTGTTTTGACGTCTAAACTAGCGTGCTGTGCGCCAATAAAACAATCCAAGGTGCAGTTTGTAAACAAGCTCTGCAGCAGAGTTTGTTTTAATTCACTGAAAACAACTGCTTGTACACAGAGGAAAGCCTCTACTTAAGCCTCATACAAACTAGGCTCTGCTACCAGCTTTATAATGAGGAACCGCTGCTTGAATTGTTAACACATGCACAGTAAAGTCATCTATAGTTCTCCTGCAAAGGTATTTATGATCTTTGAATGTATTTTAATGGGTTTTTAACCAATGCAAAGTACGATCAAAGTAAGAAGTAGAGAGGTAAAGGGTTTGCTGTACATGTGAGGCAATACTTTGTAGACCAGTTGGAGCTCCAAGTCTTTCCTTGCATGTCTACACCAGCTTAACACTGACATGTTTGTCCAACCTTCATCAGAAAACCACTTAAGCTTCGTCAGATTGAATGGAGAGCGTCTGTGAACATCGATTTTCAATGTCTTCATGTCTGGACTTTTACCAGGACAGTCCTTTAGGCCTAAATAAACAGGCTTTGATCTTAAGATTTTCTTCCAGTTGTCCTCTCCCTGTTCAGTTCCATTCATCTTCCCATCATAGCTGAGCAGTCTCTCTGCTGCTGCTTTAGGAATGCATCCCAACAGGCCGCGCAGCTTCATAAAGGGGATGTTGTAATCAATGACGTGCAGCGCTAGCTCTCTGCCGCTAACTGTGTTTTACATGTATGCCAAAAAATCCCTGGTTTTGGTCTCGTCTGCCATGGTTTGCCGTTTCCCATAAATGATTAGTGGCGAGCAGGTTTTCTTTAAAAAAAATGTTTGTTTTTCTTAAATCTCTTAAGTTTTGTATTTCTGTTGTGATCCTTTGCATCAGTCTGATTGTAACGATGTTAAGGATGTCCAAAACCATGTCCACTGTTCAGATTAAATTACAAAAGCAAGTCATTTATCGTTTGTATCGCTCTTATAACAAATTTAGTTAAATAACTGAGAAGTTTATGCTTGTACAGGGACTTTAAAAAAAAGAAAAGGTTGCAGTTTGGATTACAGACGCTGTTTTTTCCTGTTGATGTTTCTGCATTGGGACACACTTTGCGCCTTGTTTGTGCACGTCCCCCATCCAGGTGCTCCACTCAGCGCTGTGGTCATTCCTCACCCAGCATGATAAACTCCTGACAGACTCAATGTTGCCCCGTCACACACCTTTAATGAAAGCATCTGTTACAGAATGATGAATGAGCTCTCTACACCGATGCAAAATAAATAACATGCATATGCACTCTCTGAGATTTCACCGCTCTAGATGTTATCCAGAGGGTAAACAGCCTAAAGCTGCCTGACCTGTTTCAATCTGTAGTCCATCACCTTCTTTGCCCGGGATTTTAGTGCTGCAACTAACAACTAGTTTGCTAATCAATTCATTTGTTTATTCTTTTTCCATTAATTGATGAAAAAACCAGATGACAAAAGGTTCCTTAAAGAAGATTTTACACAGAAGTTAAATCAAGACTTCTGGATAAAAGTAATCAATAGAGGAAAAGGGTTTTTATCTTGAATGCAAAATGTCTTCATATTTTTTTTACCATTTCGGTAAACAATAACTCATTTGAGTGGGTTGCCCTTTAAGCTAAAGACATGTTTTATACTCTCTATACTCAACGATTAATCGATTACAAAATTTGTTGACGGTTATTTCAATAATCGTTTAATCACGATTAATCGTTTTAGCCCTACTGGAATTACTTTTCAGAGTTGCATGACTACCAAAGTGGATCGACCTTGAACAGAGCCGACTTCACAGCATTAAGTGTAGAAAAATAGATATGATAAGTGGGTCCATGTGCAGCTGCAGCCACCACTGAGTCTTGGCTGAATCAGCCTTTTGTGCCCACTGTGCCCAGATGTAAAGGGGCTCAGCTGAGGCTGCTGCTCACGAGGAGTGTTTTCACAGCTCCGACTTTTGGCAGAGCTGCTCTTTAAAATCTCTGCCCAGTGTTTATGTTGTTTTTAACAGTTTTCCTCGTTGAAACATTATTCCACAGCCAGTGTAATCATACACCATCCAATATTCCAAATAAACTTATTCTGTAGCTCAGGATTTGTTTTAAGTCAGATGAAGCCTAATCCACATAAGTGACTAATTAGTTATAAAATAACTCTTCTAAAGCTAAGTTTATCCTAACCTAACGTAAAGGAGTTTGAAAGAGCAAGGTCTCTGAAGAAACCCCTGCTTCTACCCTGTGAGCTGTTGGCACATAATGCTGCATATATTAAAAAGAATCCTTCACCAGTTTAACCAGTGGTTTGATCATTCACCTTAGCAAAGAGACAAAAAATAAAGACTTTTTCTCCATCCGTAATGAAGTACAAGTTCCTTTCCTACTGTTAGGTTAAGCTTCTTTCCTTCCTAAAGGAACCAGGTTACACCTGCTGATTACTTAATGCAGTTTTCTTTAAACTGATACATGTTTTTGTATTCAGTCCCATTGAATCTTTTACCCAATAATAAAATCCAAGGTGGTGGCAGCATCATGCTATGTGGGTGCCGTTCCCTGGGGACAGAGAAGCTGATCAGAACTGATGGTGAGATGGATAATTAATGGAACATTTATCGGGAGGTTTGATGCAGTTACCGTTTAGTGATAAAAGCACTACTTAATGCTGCTACACGGGAGTAGCCTGTTTAATAATGGGGCTTATTTTAGCTGCAGTCTGTTTGCCTGTAGATTTATTGTTAGACTAAACTTATGAGTAAAAGTTTAGGTCTAAATTGGCCATCTCATAACTGTCAGACTTAGTCCAATATGACTGAGCTTGAGCTATTTTGTCAACTTTACGGTCTTGATGCATCAAGTTGGTCTATCAAATACAATAACAATAAAATACATGAATGTTTCTGGTTGCAATGCAACAAAATGTCAAAGTTCAGTCGATACTATTTAGTTAAGACCCTGCATTAAGTGTTGCTTCCTGTGCAGCAGGGAGGTCACTGTGACATGGGTCTGTTGCACATTCCTTGAGGCCTGTGGGAACCATCTTTAGTTCCGGCTGGGACTGAGAAAGCTCGTATATAAAAACGGAAAGGGGAAAAAAAAAATGCAATGAGCTAAAAGGTAAACACGTTAGGCGGAAGGGCTGCGTCAGGGATTGACGAGGGGGGAGGGGGGTAAGGGAACAGAAGCAGCGTTGAGATGAGGAGACGTTTTCCACGTTTCTGCAAGTTTTTGGTCGTTTTCACCTTTGCACTTAACAAAACAATCGGCCAGACTCCAGACCCCAGCCTGTTAGGGTGTAACTCTGGAGGAGAAACATGTTCATTTCCTCTGTGTGTGTACAATGTTGTTAAACTGTCTTTTATTCATATGCTTATTTCATTTTCTCTCTCTGAGAAAACCACCCAGGTATTCACTCAGGACAGGTTATGTAGAAACCCTGTTTAAGAAAACACTAAAATCTCTTTCCAGACAGAAGTGAAGTGTTGAAGCCCACAAATATGCGTGTGGTTATGCCACAGATGGCAGCCCTCTCACACTGCTACAGCGCTAAATGAAGGCTTCAGTATTGGTTCATAAAGCATTTCTGCTCCGACCCCCTCCCAATGACAGGCTCCATCCACCACTAGCTGGTGACCCTGAGTCTGTGTCCCGGCCAAGAGCTGAGGAGAGGCTCCCCAGAGAGCCATGTTGGGTAACCCAGAGTTGTAACTGCAGGTTCAAACAGGAAACTGACAAACTCTTGTAAACCAAACTCATTAGTCATGTCCTAAGACTGGAGCTCTCAGCTAGCTGTAGCATTTAGATTTTTACTGCCTGTTTGATTTTCTTCCTTTTGTAGTTTTATGTTTTTTGTGCATTTTATGACATAAGTTAAACTCTCTCTGACCATTTGGTCTCATCATATATATAAAAAATGTTTAAATTAACCTGTTATCTTTTTCTGTGAAACTATAGGACATTCCTGCAAACTTCTTACAAAGAACATGGGCATGCTGGTCATCAACGAAGACAGTCTGAACGTAAGTAGGCTGGGATTTGTGTTTGATCATAACAAATTAAAATATTTTTTTCTTTTTTTTTTCTTTTTTTTACAGTTGAACTCTAACACTTGCTTTTGATTGTCGTATCTCTTTTACTTGGTTTTTAAGAAGCATAGTTCAAACCAGAGGTGATGCAAACAGAATTATTTACTGATAATCTCAGGTTTTGTAACGATTTGACCTTCTTTTACAGTGTCTCTAATTATTAACTTTATTATAAGAGAGGTTTAAAACTACTTTTCAAAATAGCAGATGCTGTAAACCAGAATTTAAATATTATTTTAAAATAAAATACTTATGGGGTCAAAATGGGGTCAAATGTCTGTCCCTGAGAGCTACTCTTCTGCATCTTTTATCTGCATCTTTGCTCCAAATAAAATAGTATCTTATTTTAGCCATCTGCACAGTTATGGACCTTTCAGCGACACATGCGCCACTGTGCCCTGAAACACTTTAGTTTTCCATAGCTCTAGCTGAGCTGGAGTGGTTCACCATTTGTTGAGTGTGAGCAAGCTTGCACCACGGTCAAAGTTGATCTATATTGAGAAATACACATGCAACCAATAGAAACTGGGCCATCCAGCCATGGAAAAACCAGGAAGCAAAATGAAGAAGATCTCAAAACGTGTGTGACTAAATTTCCTAAACTGTCTTGACCACCAAGAGAGTGAACAACCAGCCACCAACCCAAACTGTGTCCTGTCTGAAAGGGCCATTAGCTCAGCTAACATTACCAGAAGTCTGACATTTTTTAAGAGACTAGTGATGTTTCCAAATCCAGTTAACTGATAAGACTCTGTGAATCTCCAGCTTCTGCCTTAGCACTTACCTATCGTAACCCAGGCTACTTTTGATACTGGCTACTTTCATGTTAATATCCATCAAGTCAACTAAATGTTTAGACTAAAGGCTGGTTTACACTCAGAAACCAGGCCGTCTGCGTGTTTGTACACTATATGTATTTCCTGTTTGGTACGTTACTGGCTTGTTCGGTTTGTACGACCGCCATTGTGGATTCGAGAAGATGGACCAGCTAGAAGAGCGAGGTGCGCTGGGACCCTTTTTCCACCTGGATCCCCGCTCTTTTTCGCCCTCATGTCCCTCCGTTGTTCTACAAACTTTCCCCCACTTCCTCACCACCTCGGTGGTATCTAGACCCACAGCTGGTTTGTGATTGTCCTTCTTGCGTTATGGTGTGGAATAACACAGCATAGAACAAGCTTCAATGTTGAGCATAAATCAAAAATATTTGCGTCAAGCTCACTGCTGCACACTGCTGCAGGAGGATGACCAGTTTTTCAGAAATAAGTGACCATTTAGAGCAGGGGTGTCAAAGTGGTTCTAGAAAGGGCCGTGTGGCTGCAGGTTTTCTTTCCAACCAAACAATAGCACGCCAGACTCCAGTCATCTCATCAAGTTAGTCCAATTTGAACATGATGACTTGATGAGATGAATGGAGTCTGGCGTGCTATTGTTTGGTTGGAAAGAAAACCTGGAGCCACACGGCCCTTTCTGGAACCACTCTGACACCCCTGATTTAGAGGCTCAATTAAAAAGAAAAATCAGTTTTAACTTATTTGGAGAATTTTTAAATATAATTCTCATTGAGTAGTGTGCATGATGTAAAATAAATCACAACTAGGCTCAAAATATTCCTGGTGCTGTACCTTTGTTTGACATTTGTGTTACTTGAAAGTCTTGCTCTCTCTCGCTCTCTCACAGCCTGAATGAAACGGATACCCTCCTAAGCATGTTGTAGAAAATGTCCTCAATGTACTGTGTACATATTGTACATTTCTAGTATTCCTATTACACTGTTAACACCTTACTTTTACAGAAATTAGCTAATTTAGTTAGATCAGTACCATAGACTGAAGCTTATCTGAATGAGCAGGTAGGACTGGTCAGGGCTAGCAGTCAGAGATGACCAGGCTAAATAAAACCTGCATGATTTGGGTTTTGGAGTTCAATGCTTTTTTTTTTTTAAGAAAACTTAGTCAAATAAGCAATAAATGACTTTAATATCAATAGATTACTGCATTTGGACTGGAAGTCCAATTGCAGAATTTCAGAAACTCAAAGGGACTACATGCTTAATGGGGAAATAGAAATAGGGCTGCATTCATTTTTAGGTTAAGTACTAATAATAAGTCCCTTACTTTGGAAACAGTGAGAATATCCTTCACTGTCCTGATTTATTCTTTGCTTGGAGCTTTCTCTGTATTTAAGGATGAGGCCATAGGGTGCTTTCCAGAGGAACCCAGCCCACATCCTGAAATCCACATTCAACATTAAGACACCCAGCAGTGAGGTCTGTTAACCCCCCTGCAGGAGAGCCATGTCTGTTGTTCCTGAGTTTGAAAAGGGCGAGTCCCTGCAGTTTCAGGGGGAGAAGCTAAGCTTGTCAGCTGAAGCCAAAACTCCACTGTGTTCTGCTTTGTCAGACAGAGATGAGGGGGGGTTACAGGATGTGGATGAAGCGGCGGCTAGAAGGGGTGGTGTTCTGGATGATGACGGACGGCCTTCACTCTGTCAGACGTCTGTTAAGAGTGATAAATGGGGCCCAGGTAGAGTGTGGGGTTGGTGCATTCATGAAGCCAACAGGCCGACGCTTTGAAATGTCAGCTCCCATTCTGCTGTGGTTCAACAGATGCTTACATAAGGCAGTTTGTTAAAACTCAGAAACAGAACGATGTTCACTAAGACACGGCCAGGCTGTGGGGTTAGCAGGAATACGAGCACCTATACATCGATTTATTTATTTTTGGGGGCATAAAGGGAGAACTTGTTTTTTGTTCCTCATTAAACTTGAACCAGCACTAGGTAGGGTTAGTGTATTTGAAAAGAAATTGGTATATTTGTGCACTTTCAATGAGGTTGATTTAGATGTTGATAGATACTTGGACTGGCTGATATACTTTAATTTTGGCAAATATCAGGAGATCAAGTCAGGCGCATGCATTGCTGCTCCCTCTGTTTGCTGTTTAATGTTAATATGTTCTCTTAATATTTAAAAAAAAATCAATCTTTTTGTTTAAATAGAAACTTTTGTAACATTTATTCTTTTTGTGTCATATTTTTTCATATGATTGGAGGAAGAGAAAGCAATATCAGCCTAAAGAATCCACTCCAAAACGTTAATCACATACATGCACATACATGTACTGGGACCTATGTCATAAAAAATCGATCTCTAATTTAAGTGTCTTGTTGTCGGCCTCTGAGTCCGAACACATAACACATGATCCAAGCAAACGTCCAGATTCCACATCATGATGTGCACGTCCTGTTGGCTGCATCAGTCAAGGCCTATGTCAACAATGGAGCTCAGTCTTTATGGGAAGCTCCTGTGGATTTCTGAATGACCACCACATACCCTGTTCCAAAACCAAACACTAGCTCGTCACATAGGCTGTACTGGTGATTATAGCCATAACAAAGAGGCTTTAGCAGGAGACGTGTTGCATTAGTGCTAGAATTCCTCAGTGGAAATAAGGGAGGAAATGAGCAAAGTACTTGAGGAAATTGTAAACGTTGCTTATCAGGCTTTTTGATGGATTGCTAATGTCCCTAACAAAGTGCTTTTTTCCTCATACAAAAGTGCTAATGGACTAGTATGTGATCTCAAAAAATGCTGGTAACTCAGGTCCAACAGTTGTTCTCAGATTTAGACACCTAATCCTGTTGGTACCCTGACCTTGATACATATCCGGGGGATAACTTTCGCCTGTCCGACGTTCACCATCTCAAGCTGCTTATAGATCCCATCAGGATGGTAAAATCCTCACAGCTGCTCTTAGCTTGTATCCTCCTAGTCAGCTTCTCTCCTGTTAATCCATCATCTCTCTCAGTCTGCGTGGCTCGCTTTGTGAAACGTAAAGCCTCCCTCTCCAAATATTTCCCTTAAGCTGAGGTTTCACAGTTTTGTTATGCCATGGGAAAATTGCCCGGTCCCCATGGTGCAATCTAAAGGCTTTGACATATCTGACCTCCACACCAGGCCAGGCCCCTGCCTCCCTCACTTCTGAAAACGGTCTGCATTATTTCTTTAAATGATTTCAGCTGTTTGGGCATCTGTTTATATGTTCAACCAAACACAATTTCTCTCCTCTTCCCATTTCTATAACACCTTACTGATAACACATTTATAGATGTGCTTTTATTCCATATAAATGTATTTATCATTAGGTTATTATTTTATTGATTTTCTTAGTTAAAATAAGTGTGGCAACTACCTGTCAGAAAGCTGTGTTTGCTAATATCTTCACCATCTGTGGAGAGGAAAGAAACAGCAATGACCTCAACGCTCTGTCCTTTCAGTCTCACATTTATATCTTTACATCGTCACTTTTCGCTCATCTTTGGATATAATGTTACAATATCTGAATCCATCCACAAGTTATCAATGATATCACCTCATGACCTGAGTCTGTGTGTAATAAATATGGAAGATGATGATAAACATCCAGTTTATGGAAAGCAGATGTTCCTCAGCGGCTTGGTGCTAGAACCTTCAGTTCACATGTATCGCTGATCAGATCTAAGATTGTAACCACTGAGGGAGAGTCACCACCAAAGCAGCCTGTGACTCCACCAAACCCTTGAAGTTGTGCTGCGGTATCAGGCATCAGTATGTCAGTGGCTGATCTTTTACAGTACGCCCTTTAGGATATGAAGTTGATGTTCCGCACGTCTCACCATATTCTTGGAATATATGTTGGATCAGGCAACCTTCTTTTAAGTTCTTGGTCCAGTTCTGAGGCCCATTCTCCTAGTTTTTGTTATTTTTCTGTGGACAGGCGTCACCATGATTACCTTGACTGATCTGACATCTTTCTGTCAAAATATGGATTCACTTCTTAAATAGTTTGAGATCCTGTTTTCTTTTTTCCAACATCCCCACATGGAATGCCCCCACAGTCATCTACTTTGACCACTTGATAAGTACTGACCACTGCATGAACAGATCACCCCTTAGACAGTGGGTTAGGTTTAGCCACATGCCATCCCAATCAACACTCAAATCTGTACATTTGCCTGTTTTTCTCTCTGACTGTCTAATCATCCTACTGACTAATGGATGCCATGATCTGGAGGTAATCCATGTCATTCACTTCTCTGGTCATCAGTCATAATGTTTCATCTATTCAGTGTGTGTTCAACTGTACTGATACTGCTATTTTATACAGGTAAGCTACATGTAAAAAAACAACAAACACTGAGAAAGTTATCAAAGACTAAACCAAGGTAAAGCTGCTCTGCAATAGGAAGTGTGAACTCCTCTAAAAGATCTAGATGGACAGCTGGGTTGACTGTGGGGTGTAGAAGCCTTCTAGATGTTCTGACTCCAGCCTTAGTCCACTTCCTGTGAAGTTCTCCCAAATTCTCAAATTATTCTCATCGCTGTTGCTGATGTACCTTTTCCTATAATGTTTCTTTCCACTCCACTTATGAATTATCTTCGCTACAACCGCACCTTTATCAATGACCTGGTCTGGCTAACCCTTGTTGTGAATTATGACAGTAGCTTTCTTTTTGGACATGTGTTCAGTGTGCAGTCTTCTTCATGACAGTGAAAGCTACCGACCCAGATTAAGACACCAATCAGTTTTCTGGAGGCAATTAGCTGCTTAGGGTGGGAGACGATGAGTTTTTAATATTTAATTTTTCCACAATATCAAAATGTTTGATTTTCATTATTAGTAATTCATAATCATCAACATTATATCAAAACAATCATGAAATAAATTTTATTTGTAATCTGTTTTCCATCACTTTCACTTCTTGAAATACACTTATAATTATTGTTGCACCGATACCAATACCAGTATGGGACGGGGCCCCGATACTGTCCTAAAATGGTGGTATCGGTATCGGCGAGTACCAACAAATAGGGCACCATTTTGAGAGCCATAAGTTTATTCAACTATTGTCACCCATTCCAGGTAGGCAATAAATGTTCTACTGGATTCACTTTGTATTAGATTTTTTCCTGCTTCACAAAGGTAGGCAGCAGCTTGACAAAGCCATGATGGCAATTATTTTACATTATTATGGTATCGGTATCGACCGATACTGCACAGCCAGGTATCGGGTATCGGTATCGGGGCCAAAAAATGGCATCGGCGCAACACTACTTATAATACATTTCAATGATATATCTGTATATATTTATTTACACTGACATTTCTTTATTAGAATCTATATTGAAATCACAATGAACATTTGGGTTTTAGAATATAGTGTGAAATAACCCCTGCTGGAATGACTGGAAATGTATTTGATCAAGTCAAAGAAAGCTTTCATAAAGTTTGTTTTACTACCTGTGGCCTTACTCCTTTATTACCTGATACAATTGTTTGAAAAATCCTTAATTTAATGAGGAAACTGTCATGTAAAGAACAGCATTTTTAATCCAAAGAAGATTCTGTATATAATATCCGCATAGGCTTTTTTTTGCTGCAGTTTTTGAAGCAAAAACCGAGAACTAAAATCAGGGACAAATGATGTAAATCTAAGTAAAGTGTATAAAGAGAAGTTGGAAAAAGTCAAAGGTGAATCTAGTATTTTGGCATGTTTTTTTTGTTTGTTTGTTAGTTCATTATGTGAGGAAAGCTTCCAGGTAATTCACCCACAAACAGTTATTTGTTATGTCACACGGCAATATTTTAAAAAATCGTCAAGGGATTTTCAAAACCTAAGAGACTCCATACACAATGATTTAAAAAATAAAAACATAAAAAACGCAAAACTCACAAGAGCCTATACAGTACACAAGATACCTCACAAGATTGGGGCACCAGTCCCTTGCTTTGTGAACCAGGCATGGGTTTAAAGTCTTAACTCCGTGTCAGAGCATAAAAATATAAGACTTAGACTTAGACAGAACTTTATTGATCCCTTGGGAAGACTCCCTCCGGAAATTAAGGTTACCAGCAGCTTACAGGGCAAAAAAGTATTAAGTTAAATTAAGTTAAAATTAAGCAACAAAAAAGTATTAAGTTTATTTAAAATTAAGCAAAATACATTGAATATCAGGTAACAAAAAAAAACAAATAGTTTAATTAAACCAATAATTGTTAAATGCTCTTTTTTTCTCTCTTTCAGGCAACACGTGAAACCCTTAGCCACCACTGTGGGCAGCTGGGAGAAGCCATCTACAAGGAAAACGACTTTGCTCTCATCATTGATGGAAAGACTCTTAAATACGCTCTTACGTTCGGAGTGCGCCAGTACTTTCTGGACCTGGCCTTGTCCTGTAAAGCAGTCATTTGTTGCAGGTAATATTTTCTTCTGAGGGAATAAAATAAACCTGAAACAGAAGTTAAAATGTAAAACAATCCACAATCAATCTGTTGCTATCCATTTAGGCCCGAGTTACTATAATATTTCACTGTAGGAACTTGACTCCAAAATTTATGACAACAAAGCTCTCAACAGACATTAAAGCAGCTTAAACTGCAATCCCTTAAGAGTCCTAATAAATTTGTAGTCTCTATAAGAAAAACTGTTCAATGAATAAAAATGTTAATAAAAAAGATAGTGACCTACTTTTCCACATTAACCGTATGATTATTAGTCTACTTAATATTTATTCATTTTCGTCTCCAGCGATTGAAAGAACATTTCTTAACGTTAGAAAGTTATCTTTCAGAGACTTTAAAGATAGAAATGCAATTTATTTGCACTGGGATATGTGTTTTTTAATGTCGAGTATTTTAGGTCATATAAATCTAAAGTCATGTGTTTCATATACGAGCAGTTTATGCCTGCTTTTTAATGTCTGCTTTTATGACCTTTTTGACACCAATCAACTGAAAAAATACTCCTAAAAACTGTGAAACCAAATCTAGAAGATGATTTAAGTTGAAGGCAACTACAAAATACATGTAAAACGTGTATAAATCAAACTTGGCTCAGCTGATTTTCTTTTAATGCGTTGAAGAAAACCGCACATACACTCATACAGCATGTATTGGGTAGATTTTTACTGGAGGTCAGATGTCAACACAGCAACGGTAAATATACTTTGACTCCTTCTATTTGGACTCCAGTCAAATGACATAAAAATGTCCAGTGGGTGGAGTATATTACTTCATATGGGAGCTGTAGACAGATCTTTGCTTCCCTTGATGCATGAAGTGTCAGTAGCTGGCCTGCCTGGCACAGAAGAGTTCAGATGGAAAAATAAGCATGCAGAGGTTTGCTCCCTGTTGTCCTCATGTTTCTCAAACAAAACATGCAACAGGTAATAACTGTCTGAGCAGCTGCTAAGTAAATAATGTTCTTAGCTGACTTAAGCTGTTAGGAATTTCTTCTTATGATAAGTTCTTTTAATGTAGGCATTTCCCTACAGAAATTGTTCTTAACCACGAAACGTGTGCCTTTTATTCACCCTCATACTATGACTGCGGAAGTATTTATTGTAGAGATTGGTATGTATCTTCTTGCGTGATGTAAATTTTATCGTCCGCCATGGTTTTTCTTCCCACTTCTATATGGCAAGACGCAGAAGAAGGAACTTTGTTGAGTATTAATGCTGTACAGGTTCAGACACAGGTTTCATTCTAAAAGATCAGATATGTATGAAAAATCGGATTGATGTTGTTCAGACTGTCATGAAAAGATCAGATACAGGTTGCATATGTGGAAAAAAATCGGACTTGGGTCACTTTAGGCTGCTGTGTGTTAGCTAGCAGCAAATATTGGGCTATTTGACCTGAACTTTTTTTGTAGATGTCCTGTGACTATTTTTAACAGACACCCTACAGCCAGTCAGAATCCAGTATTCATCCAGACCATATTATGTCCAATGATGACTTTGCTTACTAACTTCCGACTCTTAAAGAGAAGAGGTTAGCCTGAAGTTGCTTTGCTAATAGGAAGAAGTGTACAGTCTCAAGAGGCTGGATTTCCTGAAATGTAGCCAATCACAGGCGGGTTGCTTTGTGCGGTGGGTAACGCCTTCAAAGTGACATGTTGACAGAAGCATACAGAAACGGTTCGACTTTAGATCTCACACGCCTTATCTGCATACACATCAAGTTTGAAGCTGATGGCTCAACACTCCTAGGAGTTAGTTAAAGTTCGACGTCAGCAAAATTGAAAGATTGCCAAAAATCGACCTCTGACCCAAAATGGCAGACTTCCTAACCCTGGTTGTGGTTTCTTCAAACTATACGTGCAGAAAAGGAACAAGCACTCTATGTCACACTATGTGTGACATGTTGGGGTCCTGTTGGACTATATTTGCACATGTAACATGCTAAACATGTGCATAAGGAGTAGTTTATGAATTAAAACTGCTCATAGGAGTTCCGTAAAGTAAAAAAAAAAAATCCACTGGACTTGGTTTCCAAGATTTGAAGACATTTCGCTTCCTCTCCAGGAAGCTTTCGCAATTCAAATGTCTGCTCTGCTCATACAGTAGGATTATTTATTAATGTGTGGACTTTTGGCAGAATCCTGACCCCATAAAATAATGTTTTTTGTTTAACGTCATGAGATGGGCTGTGCTTACACATCCTGTAGTGCAAAGGGATTGTGGGCAAAATTGTTGCTCCTAGCGGCAGCTATGGACACCAGGAGGTCCCTATGCTAACTGCATTGGCTCTAGAAAGCGTAATACTTCTGCTGAACCTTTGGACTGAGCCAGGATTTCCCTTATAGTTTAGTCATGTGGCTCACTACTTAAAACTTACCTTTAGGGCTGTTCAGTAAGGATGAAAGACGTTTAACGACATCAACCTTTAATCAGTCGATATCAATATTATTGAATTGCTTTTTTTTTACTATTTAAAATAAGGACTGATGAAAAAAGCCTGAATTAAAATTTCAACCCTAACCCTGTTTAAGCTTCATATTTAACCTTTAAAATTACGTCAGCCCTACTACCAACTTATTCTAGTTTGGCTGTAAGAGGTTAAGTGGCTAAATCCTTCCCTGTGCCTCCATCTTCCAGAATGCCTTGTGGTTTTGAATCATATTTAAGTGGAATTATTGAAAATTATCAACACGTATTATCTTGACATTGATTTATTACCCAGACCAACTTACCTTAGCGTCTTACATCAGCATTACCTTTGCTAATTGTTACAGCATTTTCCATGAAGGCTCCCTTTTGACTAAATACGCTGTATTTCAATCTTTCTTGTCAGAATTGACACATAAAGAGGATAAACCTGCAGCTTTGCTTTTATCCACTGAAATAAAGCCAATCTTTGTCAATAAAGATGTCAATAAAGATGTCAGCTTTTTTCTATAGAAACCTTTTCCTTTGCCTTTATTTTTATTCTGCTCAGAGGTAGTCAGAAAAGCTGAATCTTTTTCACTCAGGGAAAACTTCAAAAGCAGAAGGCGTTGTTATGGCTACTTGGTGATTAAATGTGTTTTCGGTGATCTGAAGGTCAAACAATTAGTCATCTTATGATCAATCCTAGTCAAAAGGGTCATTAAGTGATTTCAGTTATTTTTCACTGCAGGATTCTTCTACAGTAATAAAAGAAATCTACATAAACATTTAATGTGAATATTATACTGGGAAAACATTGCTACTTATTGCTAGTGTTGCGCCAATGCCATTTTTTGGCCTGATACCGATACCAGATACCTAGCTGTGCAGTATTGACCGATACCATACCATACCATACTGATACCATCTGTGTGTGTTTATATATGAAGAACTGCAGACTACTTGTATGTAAAATAATTGCCATTTTGGCTTTGTCGAACTGCTGCTTACCTTTGTGAAGCAGGAAAAAGACTAATACAAAGTGAATCCAGTTTAACTTTTTATTGCCTACCTGGAATGGGTGACAATAGTTGAATAAACATTTGGCTCTCAAAATGGTATCGGTGTTGATACTCGTACACCATTTTAGCGCTGGATCGGGGCCCAACCTGATACTGGTATTGGTGCAACACTACCTATGGCCTTATTAAATGTGGGTCATGTAGGTACTAAGAAGAGTTTTCCTGTTTTCTTTCAGAGTTTCTCCTCTTCAGAAGTCAGAGGTAGTTGAAATGGTGAAGAAACAAGTGAAGGTGATCACTTTGGCCATTGGGGNTGTCAATAAAGATGTCAGCTTTTTTCTATAGAAACCTTTTCCTTTGCCTTTATTTTTATTCTGCTCAGAGGTAGTCAGAAAAGCTGAATCTTTTTCACTCAGGGAAAACTTCAAAAGCAGAAGGCGTTGTTATGGCTACTTGGTGATTAAGAGTGTTTTCAGTTATCTGAAGGTCAGACAATTAGTCATCTTATGATTAGTCCTAGTCAAAAGGGTCATTAAGTGATTTCAGTTATTTTTCACTGCAGGATTCTTCTACAGTAATAAAAGAAATCTACATAAACATTTAATGTGAATATTATACTGGGAAAACATTGCTACTTATTGCTAGTGTTGCGCCAATGCCATTTTTTGGCCTGATACCGATACCAGATACCTAGCTGTGCAGTATTGACCGATACCATACCATACCATACTGATACCATCTGTGTGTGTTTATATATGAAGAACTGCAGACTACTTGTATGTAAAATAATTGCCATTTTGGCTTTGTCGAACTGCTGCTTACCTTTGTGAAGCAGGAAAAAGACTAATACAAAGTGAATCCAGTTTAACTTTTTATTGCCTACCTGGAATGGGTGACAATAGTTGAATAAACATTTGGCTCTCAAAATGGTATCGGTGCCCTATTTGTTGATACTCGTACACCATTTTAGTGCTGGATCGGGGCCCAACCTGATACTGGTATCGGTGCAACACTACCTATGGCCTTATTAAATGTGGGTCATGTAGGTATTAAGAAAAGTTTCCTGTTTTCTTTCAGAGTTTCTCCTCTTCAGAAGTCAGAGGTAGTTGAAATGGTGAAGAAACAAGTGAAGGTGATCACTTTGGCCATTGGGGACGGAGCTAATGATGTAGGGATGATCCAAACGGCTCACGTCGGAGTGGGAATCTCTGGCAACGAAGGCTTGCAGGCAGCAAATTCCTCTGACTACTCTATTGCCCAGGTGAGCACCAAAACAGAGCCCGTCATGAAGAAAGAGGATTCATGGTAAATGGTAGATGTCCTCTACTTACATAGAGCTATTTCAAGTTGGCTAAAGCACTTAACTATACATTGGTCAAGTGTCTTACCCAACGACAAAACATCAGTATTCTTTAATATGCAGAAATTAGCACATGTGTTGTAGTAAGTCTGTCAGACACTGTGATACATTTAAAGGACGGATAAAACCTAAAAGATAAAAATGATGTTTGATGATGTTTTTGTGCTAAAATAACAAAACACCTCGCCCAGCGATACATGCAAACTCAAACAGAACATAAACATGTACTTGGTTTCCTTAGTTTATCAGCAAAGCACTCTAAAACATTTCTCTGGGGCTCCTGTCACTGCCTTCTCATGTAATGTTTGTAAGTGATAAGTTGGCACATTGTTCCCAGTAACAATGGGTCATATTATCCTAAAGAGCTTGGGCTTAAAAGTGAAGTAGTGACACCTGTAAAACAGGCATCTTGTGACATTGAATTCCCATCAAAACTCCACAGAAATGGTTTCTGGCAAAAGTTTGTGTAAATACCTGCTCGCATCCTGGTAACCAGCTCGTCTCAAAGGCTCTATCGATATGCGATACGTGTAAACGACAAAAGCCAGCGAGATCCTGATTCATACGGGGAAAGCGTTCTGTGCATCATGTTTCTGTTAATGCTGAGAGGCTTTAGAGGAAGGAAACCAACAGGACATCCTCTATACTTCAGTATGCAATTACATTTCAAGAGATTTCAAGCCCTTTTATCTGTGACATGTGAAGAGTGTATGTCCTTCAAAAGCCAGTGGACTCTTAATCTGTTTAGGTTGTGTCCCTGCTTTAAATTAAATTGCACCTCCAGACCCCAAATGGTATTTTACTGCTACAGTACATTAACTGTAATTTGCTGAGAGCAAACCAAAATCAGTTCTAGGAAATTACACAGCTTGTTTTTCTATCCCTATACATGAATTATGATGATCCTCCAGAGAGTCCGATGAGCTTCTTGCTGCTGGAGATTAAGGTCTGCTGTCTAAGTTGCAGCCATAAAAAAGCGTTGGGTCATGGTACCTCTGCTGTCCATCTGTCGTCAGTTTAGCTGGTTTGACTAACGTTTGATCCAGTAAGAGGGAGGTCACGCTAACTGGGACCCACCACCGTGTTTTTTTTTTTTTTTCTCCTCCAAATAGTTCTGTGGTGAAGCTGAAAGATGAGCAGACCCTCAAACAAACAGGGGGAATACCACAGTTTTTAATGTATAAATCCCCAATTCTAAGATTTTCAATGAAACATATGAAGTTTTACCTAATTGGTTTCATTTGAAGAAAAAAACGTTATTCTATGCTGCAGTAAAACATTTTTAAACAATTTGATTAATATAGTTATCATTAGATTGGTCCTATTGTATGTGTTAAAGTAAAAATGATTTACTACAAATTTTCTTGTGCAAATGCCTTTTTGTTGTTCTGCTCTTTATAGATTAACACAAGTAAAATAAATTGATAGTAGCTGGTTGATTGGTAGTTTCCTTTAGCCTACTTACCAACATTGTGCATTAATCTACCAGAATGGAAGGGATTTCACTACTTTTTGCTTTGTTCTGATTAGAGGAGACATCAGTCATTCCTACAGCACCTCTGATATCTCGTTTCAACGTTTTAAAAGAGGAAACTGTATGATTTAAGAACCAACTGTATGATGGAGTCTAGCTGCTGCCCCACCTCAGAATCAGAATAAGCTTTATTGCCAAGTAGATTTGCAATTGCAAAGAATCTGACTTGGTGTTGATAGTGACAAATTTGATATATATATATATATATA